GGTTTGTATTTAGTGTAGGATAACTGCTTGAATTCAAGATGTCGGGCCCCACACGGCTAGTGGATTTAGAAAGTTTAAAATGTTTGTAAATAAATTTACTTCTCATTTTCATATCCTTTTTTAAGATATTTTGTTTATATACCCAAAAAGGAGAACTAAAAACATTTGTTTTAAGAATTAATAAAATGATAGGTGTCAATTGTAAGTAACCTCGGTTACGACAATGATAACTATTAAAATAATTTTGCAACATATTTGCATCAATTTAATGCCATTTTTCTAATATTCTTTCTTGTTTAATTTACCGAAAACTGCTAGTTTTCTCTTTATGTAAGCCCAAATATACTCTTTTGGGTTTAAATCAGGACTTTGTGGTGGTTTTTCTAACAAATTTACTTTCATTTCATCAAGATAATTTACAACAATACTGAATGTGTGTTTAGGATCATTATCCTGCATAAAAAAAAATCATCTATCTGATGTTTTCTTGTATATTTAAACAAATGTCTTGCTACAATTGTTTTGTATTCTCCACCAGTCATTTTGTCTTCAATGAAAACTAAATCTGAAACACCATAGTATGAGATTGCACCCTATACCATAACACTTCCTCCACCATGTTTTAATGTTGGTAAAATGTTTGAAGTTTCATGCTTCTTTCCAAGTAGATATCGAACATATCTTGCACCATCACTATTTATCAAGTTGAACTTCGATTCATCTTAAAAAATTATTTGTTTTAGCTCATCATCAGTAATACCTAAAAATTTTTTAGATAATCAAAATCTTTTTTCAATGTTTACACCTCTTAATAACGGCTTCTTCAATAAATGATTTGTAAATAAATCATTATTATTAAAAAATCTAGATAGGATTGATTAACTGACATTTAATTTAAACTTATCTAATAATTTTTTTGTAAGATTGGTAATGTAACGAAATGATCTTTGGTATGTTCTATAATTAAAGAAATTTTATGATTTGGTTGAAGTAGCTCTTTTCTATCAGATTCCTTTTTTCTCTCGTAAAAAGAACCATCATTTAACTTTAAAATATATCTCTGAACTGTATTTCGAGATATATTTCTTTTATTAGAAATTTGTGTCTGATTTAAACCACACTTAATATCTTCTTTAATTAAAGCTTTCTGCCTTTCTGATAAATGTTTTGTCATATGAAAATTTAGTAAATTTTATTTTTCAAACTTATTTTTAGAGGGAATTTTTTACTCCCCTTTTATTTTGAAATATAATATTTACAAAATTTTTTATTCATAATTATTTTATTATATTTTTAAACAAAATAAAATTGGTTTAAGTTTTAAAAAACATGTTAATTTACTATAAGCAATAAAATTTATATGTTTTTAATAGATTTTCTGCAGTTAGAAGAAAAAAATGGGGTGCTTTTTTATTTTGAAAGCCACTGTATATTTTCTTCAAATAATTTAAAAAATGATTCTCTAAATAATCGTGTTTATACCATAAATATTTTATTATAATAAAAATCTAGTTTTAGTTTTTTT